GCAATATTTGTGGTGCAACCGATATGGTGCGATGAACTTTTACCCGACCTGAAGTTGTCAACTTGTCAACTGGATTGTTCGCGCAAACATCACACCCTCCCACCCGCAACTTGAATTTCAGAAACCATGAGGCCGCTGCTGCGGATATGCGTGGCACTGGCTGCCGCATCTCTGCGACCGCGCTGGTGCGCGCAAGCTCGCGCCCAGAGATGCCAGCTGGTTTGGCACAGCTGATGCGGCCGCGACGGCGCTTGCCGATGATAACTTTCCAGCGCGTCTCAGAGGCCGCGCTGGCGCGCGGGCACTTCAGTGCGGGCCAGTGACTCGGGAGGAGGAGGGAGGAGAGGGAGGAGAGGGGGGAGGACAGGCTAGGTGCTCTCGTGCCTCCTATGCCGTCCGATCTCTCACTTCCATCCCTTCCCATTGTTCTCATTTTTCCTTATTCGCGGACGCGCGTCATAGCCGACTTGCAACTCCAACAAAAAAGACCCGATCGTGCGATGCGCAGTCGTCCAAGGAGAGCTGCGTGCACGGGAGGAGTGGCGGGTGAGCAGGAGGATGACCAGGAGGAAAAGGAGGATGGGGAAGGAGGAGGACAGAGACGAACAGCAGCAGCGGGGACTGGAGCGGAACGGGCGGGAGGAGCAGGAGGACCAGGGGAAGGGGGAGGGTGGGAAACACAGAGGGCGACAACGATTCATAAAGGCTCGGATTCAGAAAATTGGCCAGCGCTGGGGCGAGAGCGCCACTGAACGACGGGAGCAAAGCGCCGATCCGAAAATGAGGCCCATGCTGAAGCACCGGAAACACAGATAGTAAAACATTATAAGAAACACAGAATGCTGGAATCCTGTGTGAAATGTAGCACGCGGGGAAGGCGGGATAGCTTCCTCATAGAGTGAGGGGAGAGAGGAGGGTGGTCGTCAGAATGTCTACTTGTGCAGGAGGAGGAGGAGGAGCAGGAGGAGGAGGAGCAGGAGGAGCAGGAGCAGGAGGAGCAGGTGGAGAAGGAGCAGGAGGAGCAGGAGGAGGAGGAGGAGGAGGAGGAGGAGGAGGAGCAGGAGGAGCAGGAGGAGGAGCAGGAGGAGGAGGGTCAGGAGGAGCAGGAGGAGGAGGAGGAGGAGAAGGAGGAGGAGTGGCAGGCAACGGATCCGGCGAGGGAGGGGGGGCGACCGAGGTCGCGGTTCTCGACACCGGCACGACTGGACTGGGGCTCCCCCCCAACCTCTTCGAGGTCTACGACCGCACCCGGCGCGAAATTCGGGGAGCGGGAAGTGTGTGCGCCTGCCCGCCAGGTGTCCTCCTCCTCCTCCTCCTCCTGCTCTTCCTACTTCCTCTTGTCCTCCTCCTCCCATCCTCCTCCTCCTCCTCCTTCTCCTCCCTCCTTCCCCTCCTCCTCCCCGCCTTCTCTTTCTCCTCTCCTCCGCTGCTCCGCTCCGTCTCCTGCTCCCTCCTCTTCGCCTTTCCCCCTCTGCCGCTCCTCCACCCCCTCCGCCTCCTCCCTTTCCCGCCTGCTCTCGTTGTGAGAAGCCGTTCACGGCTCCCGGGAGCCGTCACTGGGCCCCAGGCTGTCAAAAAGCGACTCGGCACGAGAAGCCGGTCCTGGGGAAGGGGTCCATACATCGTTGGGTCCAGGGTGCGCACAAATCACGGCGTCAGAGTTCTGGGTTCCCTTCCCTCGGGCCCCGCTGCTTAGATGCTAGCCTGGGGGATCTGTTCGGATCTAGTTCGAGTCTGGCTCGACTCTAGGTCGACTCCTGCTCGACTCGAGTTCGCAAGTCCGACTCAGGTTCGACGCAAGGCGACGGACGTCCGGCGCAGAAGCGACGCCTCAGTGTAGCGGGCGGCTCCCGGGCGGCCCCCCGGGCGAGCAGCTAGCGCGCCGTGCGCAAGTGTCGACGGCGGAGTTCAGGGCCTCCCTCTCTCGAAGCCTCGGGCCCCGCTTCCCATCGATCAGGGGCAACGTCAGAGGGGGCTGGCCCTGGGGAGGCGCATCGACCCCCAGTCGCCCGTTCATCACCGACGGGGGCCCCATGGTGCAGCCCACCCCGCCCAGAAGCGGGCGGCGTCGCCATCGGAGGCTTGTGGCCGATGTCAGCTCGAGGTTTACTCCCCTGGCATCCGACGTCGCGATTCTTCCCTACTGGCTTCAAGCTATGGGGGTGCCGGGTGATGGCCGCCGGAGGCCGAACATGGGGAAGAGCCGCCCGTCGTTTTTTTTCTCGCAGCGCGAGGGCGCCTGTTGGTTTTCGCGTCAGGGCTCGGCCCTCTGGCGGCCGTTCGGGACGGTCCGGGCACCCCGGGAACACCTCCGGCGAGGCGGAGCTGCTGGAAGGCATCCCGAGGCTGGAAGCCCGCCGAGGACTGACGAGGGGATGTCAGGGGTCGCCCCTCCCCCCCCCAGCGTTCTGTCGCTGCCCCTCGCTCAAGAGCCCAGGGGGGTGGGCCCGCGTGGCAGGGCGCGCCACCCTTCTCTCGCTCCCTGGGCGTGGCGTGGGAGATGGGCCTGCGCGCGGCGCAGGCGGTGGAGGCGGCCTTCTCCGCGAAGCGCGCGCGGGGGGAGAGGACCAGGAAGGAGGAGGGGGCGGGAAGAATGATGATGAGGATAGGGAGGATGAGGAGGAGGAGGAGGAGGAGAAAGGTGATGGTGTGATGTTGAACTCTCGTTCTTGAAGAATCATTTTTGTTGATCCCCCCCCGCCAGTGCACATTGCTTTCTCACATGAAGTGCCCGCACCTGGGCTCGCACCATGTTTTTGTATCAGGGAACGTTGCCATGCTCAAACTAAATTGTTGGCCCTCCGGCTACAACAACAACGGCTCCCGCTTGATACTTCCTCACACTGTATTCAACATCGCGCTCTCGCGCGGGACGTCCTCACAAGTTATGCAGGAATTGCGCTCTCGCGTGGGACTTCGTCGCAATTTATTCAGGCGCCGCGCCTTCGACACGCAGGAATCACGCTCTCGCTTTGGCTTTTCTCACGGTTTACTTGGGAATCGCGGTATCGCTCAAGACGTCCTCGCGATTCATGCAGGACTCACGCTTGATCAACCCGCCTGCTCGAGCTGGCCGCCTGGGCCCGCCTTTGATGGGCTTGTTTTCCGCCACCACCACCATAAGTTGGAGGGGGGAAGGAGGAGGAGGAGGAGGAGGAGGAGGAGGAGGAGTAGGAGGAGGAGGAGGAGGAGGAAGACCCCCTTCCCCTCCAACTTATGGTGGTGGTGGTGGCCCATCAGCCTTCCCGACCCGCCCACTAGGTTCTGCCCGCCCGATCTGCCCGTCTAATTATACCATGTGTTTTCTGCTCCGCGCCCACCTCCTGCTAAGTTCTTTTGTGCTCCACGCTTCTCCCTCCCCCTTTAAGACGAAGAGGGCGGGTACCGAGGGTTGCGCTTATACGCGCTGAATGGCACACGATCAGATAGGAGTAACCAGTTTAAACTCATTTTATGTGTTGCTGGTGATGCTGATCATGCTGATGATGATTATGATGATGATGATGATGATGATGATGATGATAATGCTGATGGTGATTATTGTAGTGATGCTGTTGTTGATGATGATGGTCAGGATGATGCTGGTGATGCTGCTGATGATGCTGATGATGTTGATGATGGTGATGGTGGTGGCGATGGTGATGATGTTTATCACGATGGTGATGCTGATGCTGATGATGATGCTTCCGATGGTGATGGTGAAGATGATGATGAATGCTATGATGATGACTTCGATGACGATGACGACGATTATGATACTAATGCTGATGATGAGCATGATGGTAATGCTGAGGATCATTATGCTGATGATGATGATGCTGATGATGCTGATGATGATGATGCTGATGATGCTGCTGTTGATGATGATGATGATGATGATGATGATGATGGTGGTGGTGGTGGTGGCGGTGATTTTGATGATGATCGACGACAACGACGACGAACACGAGGAGGAGGAGGCGGATACGAGAACAGGGAAGAGGAGGAGGAGGAAGAGGAGGATAAAGATGAAGACCAGGATGAGGAGGAGGAGGAGGAGGAGGAGGAGGAGGAGGAGGTGGCCAGCTGGAGAAGGATGAGAGGAGGTGGAGGAGTGAGGAGGTGAAGGAGGCGGAGGAGAGGGGAGGCGGAGCAAAATGGAGGGTGGAGGAGGCGGAGGAGGCAGGAAGGAGGGAGGAGAAAGAGGAGGCTGCAGGATGAGCCCGCGGGAGGGAGGAAGGAGGCGGAAGCAGGAGGAGGATGAGGAGGAGGAGGAGGAGGAAGAGGAAGAGGAGCAACAGGAGGAGGAAGAGGTGGCAGCAGGGGCAGGCGGGAGGAGGTAGCAGGGAGACTGGCAGGGAGGGAGGAAGGCTGGACTCCTGTCTGTGAAGGTGGACTTCGTCACGGAGCAGGGCGAGACCCTGACCGCGCGCCTGCGGCAGGGTCGCTTGGATGCCTACGGTGGGGAGCAGTTCGACATCGTTACGGCCCTCCCCGAGCCCACTGGCATGACGCCCGACGCGGCGGCGCTGTGGCAGGACAGCGCCGGTGCTCAGGACAGAGGAGCCCCAAATGACCCACATCTCCAGCTTCTGTGACGAATCAAGCCGTAGTGATCGTGGCCTCGCTGGTCGGCTTCCAGGGGCCCTTGCCCAGCCCGGGGCAGTCAAAGTGCAATTCAGGATAAGAAGCTGGCCCTGCGCAGAGGGTCGGGACTTCTGGGGACCACGTATTGGACACAATCGACAGATCGCATGTCCGGGGGCATGAAAATAGAAAAGCTTTCGGAGGTCCGCGCGGAGTTCTCGGGTCGGCGCGGGGCCCCCTCTTCCCGCTTGCGCGCAGGGCGCACCGGGGGGCGTCTATGGAGGCGCCGCCACCGGGAGTTCTGGCACAAGGCCCGAGAGCGCGTGGGCCTCACATGATTTATGCTGCTCCCATCGTACTGAAGGACCAGATCCCAGAAATAATTTCGAGCACCGGGAAAAGTGTCGAAAGAGTGTCGAAAGAGTGTCGAAACAGTGTCTCCCAGGGCCCGACACGTGAAAACCCGCGATTTTCGGCACTTTCTTCAGGTAGCCGAAACTCTTTCTGGTAATCAAGGCTGAAGTAGGTTGGAACATCATCACAGATGATGATCGGCGACACGTGCGGATGACCCTTCGCTGGAGTGACCTTTGGCGAGCGGCTTTCGGGGGGCGGGGGGGTTGGCAGACCCAAGCCGCGCAGGCCTCTTCTGTTGCATCGCATGCGACGCTCGGGAAGCCGCGCACCAGGTGCCACTCGTGCCCAGGGTCACTCCTGCGTGTGGCCGACGCCGACATTGTCACGCTTCCCTGAAGAGTTAGTCTGCAAGGGTTGTGCGTGCTTCTCGAGCGCCCAGTGAGGTTGCCTGGGCACCCGACATCGGCGGCCCATCGTGGCCTTCTATCCTTGGTCCCCCTTGGTTGGACTTCTCCTCCTTCTCCTCCTCAGTCCTCCCTTTCCTCAGTCCTCCTCCTCCTCCTTCTCCTCCTCCTCCTCCTCCTCCTCCGTGCAGTTGTGTGAAGCCTAGCTGTTTAGGGCTCTCTGCAGCAAGGCTGGCACCCGGAGATCTGACGTCCAGAAACATCCAGCATCGTTGAACCAACATCGACCAGAGCCCTGGACCGTATCTGCCTGCTGCATTTATGGAGACGGATCGATCCGTGAGGGTCCTGGGGCCCGAAGGAAGGCAGAATCGCCCGTTGTGGAAAGTCGGCGCCAGGCTCTCAAGGTGAGTAGTGCTGTTTAGCCTCCCCCTGCCGCAGAGGCTTTATACTTGTAGTCATCCTCTGTCGCGCTTTTTCCTAACGTGGCTTCCCATGGGTCTGGACCTCTTCCGCGGGACCGGCTTTTCATTCTGAGTGTTTTCTACGGCCCCAGGGCGTGGCGAGGGCCCCCGGAGGCAGAACAGTTGCAACAAACACCTGTCGCGTTTCCTCCCAACGCGGGGAAGTCATGGTACCTTCTTGCCCCTCTGAGCTGACTGCGGTGGTGGCTAAGGCGATCTATCGGGCCTAACATGGCATTTTAAGTGGATAGCAGGTCCCTCAAGTGGTTATTGGGGTCAGATAACTCCGCGAAGTTGGCGGAGCCAATGTGGCCTGGATCGAAAATCCCCCCCGAGCCACTTAGGGCTCTTGTAACTCACTTAGAAACTAGGTCAGGCCAGATATAATCCACCATCGCATCCGCTTCCCAGCCCCAAATCCTCTTGGATACGCTTTTTTGCTTGTGAGAAAAAGCCTGGCGATAACGGGCGTGACCAGGACGGAGGGCGAGGGTCGGGATCACGACTTGCGCCAGCGCCGTCTGGGAATGCGTCGGACTGGTTAAGTCCCACACGGGCCAGCGCGAATCGTCACGTGGCCCGGGGGAGGGGGGTGGGGGGGCGGGTCCGGTCACGGGCGTTCTCGCGAACAATGAACACGGGCTCCTAGAACCCCCCGCGGCCACCTCAGCAGAGTACCCTCCTGCCCCTCCGAAAAGGAGGAGCTCCGGATCCTCGGCGGCGGCGGCGTGGCGGTGCCCGAGCTTTGCCGGGAGCGGGGCCTCGGCAGGGCGCAGGTGGAGCGGGCCCTGGTGCGGGGCGAGCGCTTCCGGGTCCGCATCCGGGCCCCCGCGCAGGAGTTCCTCCCTGCTCCTCGGCCTCCGATGCTCCTCCTCCTCCGTCTCCTCCGTCCACCTCGGCCCCCGCGCAGTAGCTCCTCCACCTCCTCCTCCGCCTCCGCCTCCTCCTCCTCCGCATCCTCCTCATCCGCCTCCGCCTCTTCTTCCTCGGCCCAACAGCTGACCAAGCTCGGGATACTTGTGTCCCAGCGGAGCCACAGGTAGTCGCAAGTTTGAGCTCGGTCATATTGAGAAGGAGGTCTGGCCTAAGGCTTACAGAGGAGCGGAAAAGGAACGAATAGAGGCTTGATAGCCCACTCTGGCTTCTCATCTGCCTCCCCCGCCCCCTCTTCAAAAATCAGAGCAGGAGGGTGCCCTTGCCCTGGCTGCTGGGCCTGGAGCGGGGCTCTAGAGCGCTTGTGAAACCTCAGTCACGCCCCCAGACCAGAGGGGTCTGGGCGCGAAGCGGATGGATTAGTGAGGTCGGCAGCCAGCAACCGTCACCGCAGCCACCACCACCATCACCACCTGGATGAAGAGGGGGCAGGTCGTCAGCGCTCGTCGGCCAGCCCGCTGCGCCCTCCTCCTCCTCCTCCTCATCCTCCTCCTCCTCCTCCTCCTTCTCCTTCTCCTTCTCCTCCTCCTGACGCTGACGCTGCTGGCTCCTGAGTTCATCCTGAATGCAGCCTTCCCCCATCCCCATCCCCAGGGGCCGTTGCCCCTCCTCTTCCTCCTCCTCCTCCTCCTCCTCCTCCTCCGGGATCTCAGGGTCCTGGCGGTTTTCGGGCCATAGCTCGGGCATCCAGCGGCCGTTCGGGACGATCTGGGCACCCCCGGAACGCCCTCGACGAGGCGCAGCTGCTGGATGGCACCCCGAGGCCAGAGAGCCTC